CATATACATATACATACATACATACTTACTAACACATGCATACCCACACAGAGACACGACATGAAATTTGACGCAATCAACACCGTCGAGACCGATACCCTGCTGCTGACCAACGACCAAGACGGCAGCCCAAAGTACTACGCCATCTTCCTGACGGACGCAACGCTGTCTATTGAGGAGGAGTCTGGGGATTGGCAATCCTCCCTCTCCAATGAGCAGTGGAAGGGTATTGACACCTACCAGGCGCGCTATGGCGTACGTAGTGTGTCACTGTCGTCGTATCCCTCTGCGGCGCTGGGCATGAAGGTGTCGCCGGTGCCTGGGTTGAATGTAAGTGCGGGATAAGGAGTAGGTAAACCTGTGAGATAGGGGGTAAATAGTATGTGAGAGGGGCTCATTGCCCAGTCTGAAGGACTTTCAAATCAGTAGTTTCACGTGCATGACCGTATAACTACCTTTGATATACATTGCAGTTTTAGTTTATATTGGCTGCATACTGCTTCACCTTGAGGTCCCCACCGTTTCACTATAGGTGTTGATTACATCCCCGACTCGCAAGCAATCGACTCTGTCTTATATCGACACTATCCTCCCCACAATCGATAAAAATTATTCTTGGCCTCTTTTATTTCATTTTTGTATACACACCAAATAGTTTACTTGCTACATTCAATGCTACAAGCTTTGCGCACACTCAACCTTCCCTATGTCCACACCCACGTGTTCATTCCCTTTCAGGATAATGTTTACCTGCATCCTGTTTCGGGTGGCCCGTTGCACATGGAGCCCATGCCGCTGGCAAGGGAAAACATCTACATTGTACCAGCTCAAGTAGACCTGGGCGACGACCAAACCTTTAATGTGACCACTGCCATGGTCTTCACCAATACAGCGGTATGTGTGTAGCTTATGCAGAAGTGTGTGTGATAGTGCATAACCGCACCATAGTTCGATACGATGCGGTTGGGCTGCTGTGAGAGCTTCTGACGGTCAACTACGCACCTGCCAACGATACCAATGCCTTGCTTGGCGTGTACTGGCGCTTTGGTACAGACCGTGCTAAGGGTACTATTCGATTCAATAGCCAGTAATGCGTAGGATATCATATCTCTGAGGTGTTCACGGCTTGGGATTGGGCGTATCTCTGAGCCCTAGTGTACACGGCACCTCACGGCAGTGTCCAACTACTGTTCATAGGCAGCCTTTCTCCGCTTCAGTGTTCGAAGTTCTCATTTGAATATTTGCTACTACCACCAAGATCTGCACTAATGACAGTTTCATTAGGTGAAATTCAGTAATTTGTTGAATGGTGTGAATGAAGAGGACGTTGACTTGTCGGGTATCAGTGTTTCCTTGCACAGAGGTGTACATATCAATGTCATACTAATACACCCAATATTTAATATTCTTCCATATCCTTAGGACCCGCCTGCAAATGACCCGGACCACATCGCAGCCGCATTGATTATATCCGTGTCTGGGGCAGAGCGAATGCACTTCTTCTTGTCAACGTCCTACGGTATGTCTATGTATATGGAGCCTTCGCAAATAGACGCACATGAACACCCATGCAGATAAACATCTCATCCGTTCGCAATCTATTCAACGTCCTATGGTATGTCTATGATCCCTTAGCCAAGAGGCGCACATGAACACCCATGCAGATAAACGTCTCATCTGTTCTCAATCTATTCAACGTTCTGTGGTATGTCTATCCCTTAGCCAAGAGACACACATGAGCACCCATGCAGATAAACATCCCACCCGTTTTCAATTTATCCCTCAACTATGTACGAGGTAAACCGGGGTTCACCCAGCTTCTATCGCCCGTTGTATGTCTGTAGTGGAGCAGCGTCTGCCTCAAGAGGACTATCGAAAACCCTAAAACCTTAAACTGGTGCTATTGCACGGTTTCTCTCCGCAGGTGTTCCCCACGGCGAGACTTTAGCCAACTCCATGGTCGCCTGGAGTACCGAATACGTTGAGCCGGCCGACAAAGGGCCAAACACTACCCTCTTCATCGCATTGGGCGTGGTCGGAGGTGCGTTTCATTTGGGGTTGAGTGTCTTGTTTCGGATTTTAATACAGTACCTCTTTCGACTGTGGGTGCACACTCTGCTCTACGAGCTCAACCAGCTATTTGTTGTGCATTCTGTATGCTTGAAATGAGCAAATGCTCATGATTAATGGTTGCGATGTACGTTTAGGTATCGGTTAGTGTGGGAAAAATATATATCCAGGACAACGAACTGCTCCTATGGGAAAGCCGGTGTTTTGTGAAGATCTTCTTCGGTTTGAGGCCAGACCAGATATCGTCTCCGGTTTGGGCCCCAAAAATGTGCTTGTACACATATGTGCATCCATATACATTCATGCTGTACTTCTGTAAAAATATGTCTATGAGGCATTTAGTCTTATACACCCCTGTGTTTTTGGCTCTATTTTACCTCAGGTCTGATTCTGTTAGTCGCTCTCGGGTACTGTTGTATGCGGTGCTGCCGCAGATGGAGCGAAGGTATTGCCGACACCAGCATTAAGGCGTACGACAACGAGTCATGGGAGGCCGCAAATAGGCACTAAATACTCGAATGCACACATACACACAAGCACACACACACACACACAAACACGCATATATATATCTATACCATTCATGCACACACATAGTTATCTTTACCATTAATGCACACACATATATAAATATATATACATATATACATATATGTGTGTATATACATTAGTTTAAGAATATACATATATACACATTAGTTTAAGAATATACATATATACACAAGTGTATGAATATGAATTTGAGGTGAGAGGTTTGTACAGACCAGTGTCGAGGCATATACTGACATGGGTGCTTGTATCACAGAAGCATCAACTGCACTCTATCTGAGATTTTATCCAGATCGATCGATATATGCGATCACCGTGTATGGGCACAGTACATGATTTTATAAGTGAATATGCAGCTTGTGGTGCACCTTCTCCCTTCTGAGAGTCTACTGACAATACAGTGCAGTTTGCCGTCCCAATACCATTCCTCTAGTATGCGCATAATCTCATACAGTACGAAAGCCGCGCTTCAACTGTGCCACGAACTCATTCGCAGTACATTTGTTAAGAGACGGTCCTTCCACAATCTCCAAATGTCCCGATTTTCAACCCAGTCCCAAGTTCAACAACGGGCTGTATACGAACAGACCTCTCACAGTTGTTGTAAGCTATGTCCAGCTCTAAGGCATAGCTATCGAGCGGTGTCGCAATTGATTTTTAAGAATCTGAGACAGGCCTTTGTGCTAAAGCTTCTGCACAATTGGGGTCGATGGAGGGCACAATAGGGCCCAGTTCTTAGAGCCCCATCACACCAGCAAGGACTGAGAATACTATTGGAAGCTGCACGTAGTCCATCGTACAGGGCCCGACACTAAACCTATACAATTATAACACCAAATAGAACGTAAATAATGAAAACATGATATAATAAAGAGACATCATAGTGATAATACCGCGGTGTGAGCTGTTTGTCTTCGTTAAGCGTGGGGTCTAATTGGTGCATTGCTGGCCCGAATTCTCAGTTCCTAGGGAATTATACTTTTCGACAAGAATGAGCCCCGGTTGCTAAGATACACAGCCAATCAATACGAAGCAACAAATTGCTTGCTATACTACCACTCACGCCACCGTTGGGCGGAGTCAACACTTTTGCACCCAGAACCCTAATACTATTTGCCCTGAAACGCTGCTAAAACCTGCAAACATTGCAAGTACAAGCAAATAGAAAACTCTCAACTAACTCAGTATCGATGTCATCCGTAGCTATATAGTTGGTGTTCGTTTGACAGTCCACTGCAAAAAAAAATAGTGTAGCATTGCGCATACCATGATAGTTCTCCTCTCTCGTCATACGCCTTTGTTGAAATGTATCGAAAGCTCCAGTCGATCGCATCAATAGAATTCATACTTTTAATAACAAATTACAGTTCCACTATAACCCCTGCTACGAGGACGCAGAGCCCCCTGCCATAGCTAAACTATAAATAGACTAGCTCGTCATATATATAGCTAAACTATAAATAGACTAGCTCAGTCATATACATAGCTCAACTATAAATAGACTAGCTCGTCATATACATTGATAAACTATAAATAGACATAGCTCGTCATATACATTGCTGGCCACTGCATTAGTCGCTTTCTCCCAGCAACTCGTCTTCGGAAAGTTTCTCGATAATCTGTAGTAGGAAATTGCAATTAGACGAGCTACTAGGGGGTTTCTCATAGCTGTGACAGGATACTGGTAGGTAGAGAGACATCCGAAAACGACTCCCAGTTCTATTAATAGAATCTGCTGGTCGAACGGATAACTGAGTAGTACTAAAAAGGTATTCTTAAATTTACGATATGCAAAATGGAGTGCTCCTTGCCTATCCGGTTTCTTATATATCACCCAATACGACCTTGATGGCAAGCTAGTATCGACTCAAACGCACAAACCGCACTAGCACATCCCCAGCAACACAACCATACGGAGTCAAAACGCACCTTATTCAAGAACATCTCCACATCCATCAGCGTCATCTCCTCATTTAGAAGTGATATGAAAGGCTCCGTCTCGCTCAGTGTGCTCTCATCCCCAGGCGTTCTGTGAGTGCAGAAAGAAACGGCAGTGATCGGAACAAGTAATACCAGGTAATATCAGACGCACAACACAGACATAGACATAGACATAGACGTAGACATAGATATAGACATAGACATAGACACGGACACAGACACAGAAACAGACACACACACACACATATGCGCATTGCTGGTGGGTACCATCAATATTTCGCCGCGGCGGTACAGTAGAATCAGCGATGATCACACCAGCCGTAAGTAACGGAATGGCACTCAATGAAGCTCTACGTCACCTTATATACTTAACGCATTCCATATCAGTACTAAATAGCAATTGCACAGTTGTGTTCGCGTACCTTAGATACTTAACGCATTTAATATCAGTACTAAATAGCAATTGCACAGTTGTGTTCGCGTACCTTGGATACTTAACGTATTTCATATCAGTGCTAAATAGCAATTGCACAATGATGTGTTCGCGTACCTTGGATACTTCACGTGTTTGACACCAGGACTAAATAGCATTTTCACCATGAAGCGCTCGGGGTCCTTCACAGGTTTCTGTGTATTAAAACCCCGGTGAAAAAAAATGAGAATGCGAGTGTTATGGGTCTTAACAGGAGAAAGCCAGGCTTGCTAATCGAGTCCAGGGTTTGAGTTTTAGAGTTTAGGGAGGAAGATAAGTAAGCTCTAGACAGGAGCAATAGGCGCAATGAGCCGAGATTGAAGCAAACACCGCGAGAAATACGCGACAGTACAACGTGTGGCATATCCTTGAACATGCAGGAACGGATAAGGCCTGTCCCTTTTGCATGTCTAGAAGGAACCCAGATAGACCACTCCGCACACATACACGCGTTTACGTTTTTGAGATCTCATATACGCTTTGATCACATACTAAACCTAAACCTCGCAACTAGTCCATAGCGTATGGACTTACGTTATAGTTTTCGAATAGCATCATCACGATTTGCGACAGATAATTCAATTCCGGAATCTTGCCCAGTTGCTCCTCGACCGTCTCGGAAACGATGCCTTCATCCTGCAGATGGACCAAGTTTATATACATACAAAAACATATAGATAAACTAAGCATATGCTTGACACAAGACTAAGTGTCACTCTGAAATTGATATCTCAGGGAGGTGATTGCCAGTTCAATGGTGCACTCCAGGGGCTGCTCTTGACCAGTACAGCTAACAGACACACGGCGAGTTCGGTTGCTACCGTCGGCTGTAATGCGTACCCGCGAAGGCCGACCCGCAAAGATATCTTTCTAACTAGACGTTGACGCATACAATCGATGTGCAGAGAAGCGCAAACATATCTATCCACTAAGACGTTCACGCAAACGATCGACACCCCTATGCAAAATTATTACACCTAGTTCCCACATGACACATTCAGCAACCAATATACAGCAGAATGCGCTGGTCATGTACATTTAGGTGCAATCTCATCTGTCATGTCATACCTCCACATAATAACACATTCAGCAACCAATATACAGCAGAATGCGCTGATCATGTACATTCAGGTGCAATCTCATCTGTCATGTCATACCTCCACATAATAACACATTCAGCAACCAATATACAGCAGAATGCGCTGGTCATGTACCTTCA